TTGTAATAGATTTGAGCTGTTTGAATCTACGGATTTTTCTATTTAAGATATGAGAAAACTTTTTTCTACAAATATTTGATCAATTAGAAAAGTATTAATATAAAAGCAGCTGGTGGAGGGTATTGAAGATTCGGCTCAGCCGAATATAGCACTCTAACTTGTTTTTGTATAGATTTAAATTAGTAGACATAATAAGTAGGAAATAAAAGATTAGGTAATAATCATGGCAAGATTAGTTGCTTATGATATTCAATACTGATATTTTGATAATATTTGTTATATTGAAAATACGTAAATAAATTTAAAGAAATTAGTTCATAAACTTATAGCGTTTGGTGATGTTAGATGTAGAAGTTTTGTGATATTACTTAGGTATAGATAATTTGTGATAGTAGTTATAAGAACTTTGGTGCTAATGTTTTAGGAACTTTGTGATATTATTTGTAAGAAATTTTTAACTGGATTAAGACATATTAGATATTGGTTGCTATTAATAAAATTAATGTTAGATTTAGTAAATCAATACTAAATATAGACTATTTTAGGTCAGTATTCTAATTTCACGTTTTAGGCTGAAGATTATTTAAGGATTTTTATTTGTCCAAACTTTAGGTAGACTCGGTTCAAACCATGTATATGTCGTGATGTAATGCGTAGATTATGTTGAATAGGCCTGTCTAAATTTCTTTCGCAACCATGTGTTCTCTAGTTATACAACATCTAAGATCTTTTTGAAATTGTGTGGTGGAAAATATGATGGAGTGTTTCCATGGGTAATACCGCTCGTTATGTCTCTCGAGGGTGGTGGAATGGACAGGTGGTTGAACCACGTGTCTTCCGAGAAGACTCCTCGAGAGTATTTGAATTCCTATGTATACAATTACAATAAAATGACATAAGGCACTAAATATTTACATTGTTATATATTTTCAGATGGATTAATGTAAAAATTATTAAAAATTTTGAAATTAACACAAGATTTTTCTTAAATTCGGGTTTTAAACATTTTAGACAATATTTAATTAAACGTGATCAAATTACAGAAACTTTAACTGTATAACACGTTTTTTTTTCTTTTTAATTTATATCTTTCCACACTTTTTTAATGTTAACTCTTCAATGTCTGTATGCAAAAAGACCTGAATTGGGGATTAAAAATCTTTTATTACCCTTCTTGTTGCGTATTAATTAATGACTTTTAACTCATTAAAAGAAATAAAACAAGTTAGAGTGCTATATTCGGCTGAGCCGAATCTTCAATACCCTCCACCAGCTGCTTTTATATTAATACTTTTCTAATTGATCAAATATTTGTAGAAAAAAGTTTTCTCATATCTTAAATAGAAAAACAAGTTAGAGTGCTATATTCGGCTGAGCCGAATCTTCAATACCCTCCACCAGCTGCTTTTATATTAATACTTTTCTAATTGATCAAATATTTGTAGAAAAAAGTTTTCTCATATCTTAAATAGAAAAATCCGTAGATTCAAACAGCTCAAATCTATTACAATTCCAAGATTTATTGAACATTACCAACGCTTGGCGATTTTTATTAATTTGCATGTATGCATGTGTGTGAAAGATTTAAGGATTATCAAAATACATATATATAATTTTGTTCTACACAAATTGATAATGCAACTAGTTAAATACGGTTTTAGGGGCAGGACCTAGTATGGGAGATATGACCAATTATAGACCGATCGTAAAAAATTCGTTAAGCAAAACTTCTGGAAATGAAAGCTATATTTCAGTAAAATTTTGTATCTATATCGTAATTTAGTAATAAGTAATGTGTGTTATGAACCGATCGTGCAAAAATCTTGAAATAGAATTTTTGTATCAATAGCTTTATTTGGTAATGAGTAATGTGCATTTAAGAGATTTTCGAAAGAGGACCTTGTGTATATAAAAACAAAATTTCAAAATTCTGTATCTATATCATTATTTGGTAATTAATATTGTACATTTAAGTAATTTTCTGGAGGGGGCCTAGTATGAGAGCTATGACCAAGTATGGACCGATCGTAAAACAATTTTATAGTGTAATTTATGTATATAAGAGCAATATTTGTGCTAAATGTATGGATATCAATATTTTGTAATGAGTTATGTGCGTTTATGTGATTTTCGGGAGGGAACCTTGCATGGGAGTTATGACCAAGGATGGACCGATAGGAAAAAAATTCCACAGTGATTTTCGGGAGGGGACCGTGTATGGGACCGATCAGAAAAAAAATTTCTCAGTAATATTTCTGTATGTGAGAGTAATACATGTACCAAATTTTATATGGATATCTTAATTTTGTAATGAGTTATGCGCGTTTAAGTGATTTTAGGGATAGGACCTTGTATGGGAGCTATGACCAATAATGGACCGATCGGAAAAAAAATTCACAATAATATTTCTGTGCACATGAGTAATACTTGTACCAAATTGTATATGGATGTCTTATGTTAGTAATGAGTTATGCGCGTTTAAGTGATTTTCGGGAGGGGACCTTGTATGGGAGCTATGACCAATTATGGACCGATGGAAAAAAAAATGTCAAAGTAATACTTCTGTATGTGAGGGCAATACTTGTACCAAATTTTATATAGATAACTTGATTTAGAAATGAATTATGTGCGTTTAAGTTATTTTCGGGAGGGGACCTTGTATTGGAGCTATGTCCAATTATGGACCGATCCAGAAAATTTTTCTCTGAATGATTTCTATTGTCATAAGATTTTAATTTGTAAAATTTTGTAAAGATTTCGACATTGTGACGGAAGTTATTAATAAAAAACCCATTTTCCGGGAATATGTACTTTTGTATGGGAGGTATATGAAATTGTGGACCGATTCAGGCAATTTTCAGCGGGAATCAAGCTCTTGTATAGAAACGAATGTATGCTGATTTTCATGGAATTATCATTCACAGTTTTCGAGAAAATTACATCAGAATGTGTAAAAAATGCTTATTTTTTTCGAGGTTGTTTCAAATTTTGATTCATAACTTTTCCCGGTGTGAACCGATTTTGCTCATTTTCAATACCAAACTGCCTAGGACAATAATAAATATTTTGGGAGAATTTCGTTAATTTTTGTTGCTTCGTGTTAACGTGAGAATGTTTTATACAGACAGACAGACAGACGGACGGACGGACGGACAGACGGACATAGCTAAATCGACTCAGAATTTCATAAGGTCCAAGAATATATATACTTTGTTGGGTCTCAGATGAATATTTCTTGGTGTTACACACGGAATGACAAAGTTATATATACCCTCTATCACCACTGATGGTGGTGGAGGGTATAAAAAACTCAAAAGCTTTCAAAAGAGTACATGTAATAAAAGAGCATGTTCAGTCACCCACCCTATTATCATGTATGTTTATCATGTAGATCAACTTACATTTTTAAATTTAATAAATAATAAATACAAATATTACGAATATTACATGGCGATCCTGCCAGGAGTTTATTTATTGTTTATATAATAAAAATCCCTTTATAAACTAAATTTGAGTTCAAAAGTGATATATAATAAAATAGACTTTTAAAGACAAAATTTAAATTTAAATAAACACTCAGTAATTTATAATAAAAAAAAAAAAAAAACATAAAAATGACATTAACCAACAACAAATTCAGTTAAAACTTTAAGGAAAATACATTAAAAAAAAAGCCCACCAAATAAAAAAAAATAAAAAAAAAGAAAACATTTGAAAAATAACAAGAAAAAGCTAAATATAATACAATAAAAAGAAGACATTTTTCTAAAAAAAAAAAAAAAACCCCAAAAGACTCAAAATAATAAAAGATAATAACAAACAAAAAGGCTTTTTCCACAAAAACAACTTTAAAAGGAAGAGACAACAACTAGAAAATATTACTCTTGCCCTCCCCATACTCTCTTTCGAAGGAAATCAACAAGGAGTAAACACGTCAACCAATGAAAGCCTTAAAATCTTATAAAAACAACAGACAGCTTTTCAACATGTAGAGCCTTAACTACAATAACAAGAATAGCAGAAACAACAACAAAAACAAAAAAGGACATTAGCAGGATTTTCAGCAGCAGAATGAATTCAACTTTAAAATACTTAAATTATTATAAAAACATATTTTATTTTTGTTTAAGATAATTAAGCCTTATTTCAAAAAAAATATTGTAAATGGAGCGGTGAATAACACTAAATTTTAAGTAATTATAATTATACTAAAACTGCATTACTGCGACACTTACGAGTCCCTCCAGTACTGCATAAATTTAAGGGTTAAACCTAGTTGGGTCTAAAATTGGTTTTGACCCATGGTTGACAGTGCCTGGTACGACGGTACATATGAGTGTACAGTATGCCACGCGGTGCCATCCATCCCCTTAATATAAGCACTAACACGACCCCAGACTACACAACTTATTAACCTTCACGTTACTATCTAGGAATTGTTACCTATCATTTTTAGAAAACTTTGTAAACATTAACGTGAAAAACGAACGCTGACATTTCTTGTATGAACTTATTTTTTAAAAAAAAAAATCCTTTTTTTTCTCATCGTGAAGAATCACAACATGGGTAATCACGATTCTAAAATCACAAACCCTAATGCTAATGTGATCAATGAGGTGAAAGTCTCAATAGAATACCCAATAGTATATCTGGGTATCATAATAGGTATCCTAGCGCTACAACTAGTAGTCACATTATACCAATTACATAAAAAATCTCTAAAAAAAAGTTATTTAAGACGGTCTATGGGTGTAGATTTGGACAAAGTCTAAAAATCAAGCTCCAAAGCAATGAATTTTTACATAATTTTTATCTTATACCTCGTTCGCTTAATTCTATATTTGAGCCTTATTATATATCATAATTAGCCCATTAACATTTATTAATAATTATGCGTTCCTACCTAAGTCTGAAAAAAAATTTTTTTTTTGTTTGATTATAGAAATTTACTTACATAATTTCAATTAAAATCTGACTCATGATAATTCCCAAAAGGCTAAATGGAATGGGAACAAATTATTTATAAAGCACGACTAATAAAAGAAAGATTCCAAAGGTCTTATAAGTGTATAAACACTGATAGAGACACAAAACAAGAAACTGTGAATAAACACTTTAACATTCTTGTGCAACAATTAGAACAACTAAGAGTCTTGTTTAATGTCAACTATTCACGACTGACACAGGCTCATAAAACTTTCGCCGACTCTTTTTATCTGGACATACGTGAAAAACTACTAAACGTTGCAACACGTAAAGGTCTAAAAATACAAGTACCCCAGAGTATACATGAACAAATAGAGTTTGTACCTCTACCCGAAATTATTGAAGTGAAACAAAATCAAACATCTTCAGTCAAAATGACACAGACAGTAGTTGAATTTCTAAACACAGCCTCTAAACTTATACCAGACTTTGATGGCTCGGCAGAGAACCTTCAAAGCTTTCTGGACGCGTTAAATCTAGTAGGAACTATTAGGGAAAACCATGAGGCCGTGGCAATTCAGCTAGTTAAAACTAAACTACGTGGTACAGCCCGTAACCTAATTTCTGACGAAACAACTCTATCGGAAATAATAGCTAAACTTTCGAATACAGTCAAAGGTGAATCCGTGGATGTGGTAACTGCAAAACTAATGAACGTAAGACAACTGGGCAAGACTGCCACAGCTTACGCCAAGGAGATCGAAGATCTCACTAGGAAATTAGAAACATCCTATATAAAAGACGGATTACCAACCAACGTTGCAACAAAGTACGCTACAAACACAGCAACAAAAGCTATAATAAAAAATGTCTCCAATGACAGAGTAAAACTCATTATGGAGTCAGGAACATTCCATGACCTTAATGAAGTAATGTCAAAATTTATAAGCAGCTGTACCGAAGCTTACGGTCAGCCTAACTCTATTTTAGCATACAGTAGAATTCAAAATAGACCTCCAAGACAAAGACAAAATAGTCAATTTCCCAAGGGATATAACAATAGGTTAAATAATACTAGAAATTCTAATCAAAATAATCCTGGGAATATAAGCCAAAACTATCGCCGAAACAATAACAATAATAATAACAGACGCCAATGGTATCAGAATAATACCAATAATACTGGCAATCATACGGGCAACCGCAACAATAATTATCGCGGTAGAAATCAAAATAATAGAATCAATACAATGGTCACTGAAAATGAATCTGAAAATGATTCGGAAAACGGGCAAGACCCCCAAGATACTCAATAAAGATTTATAATATAAATATCAACTCCTACAGCTATTTTAAACCACGTTCAACAATGAACAACTCTATGTCGACACTTTTAGTAGACACTGGCGCGGACATTTCGGTAATAAAACGCAGTCAAGTTCTTTATGATCCTATAACGGAAAATGAAAAAGTGAACATCAACGGAATAGGACAAGGTTTAATAACCACGATTGGAAAAGTTAAAACCGAACTCCTATTACGAAATATCTCAATTAAACATGAATTTCATGTAGTTGAAGACAACTTTCCGATACTCGGAGACGGAATTATAGGTATGGATTTCATCAGGAAGTATAAATGCATATTGGACTTTAGCGGTGAACAAGACCTATTAATCTTGACCGACGAAGTACCATGTGAATATAATATTACCCTGCATGATTGTCCTGAACATCTCACGATACCTCTCCCAGCGAGATCTGAGGTAATTAGACCAATCAGTTTTGATACTGAAGTAGAAGAAGTGTTTGTACCACAACAAATGCTCCAAAACGGTGTGTTTATAGCAAACACCATAACAACAAAGTCTAACCCTCTAGTGAAAATCATTAACGTAACTGACAGGGATATTATGATACAAAACTGCAAAATTAAAGTTCAAAAACTTAGTGACTATAGAATAGCCAACGTTAGTTCGGAAAATAAAAATAATAACAACAGTGAAAAACTGAAGAAATTATCAAAAAAATTTCCAGATTTCGTAAAAACGGAACTAACACAGTTATGTTCTGAGTTTATAGACATTTTTGCGCTTGAGTCGGATAAAATAACGACCAACAACTTTTATAAACAAAAATTGCGCCTTAATGATAAACAACCAGTTTATATTAAAAATTACCGAACTCCTCACTCTCAAAAGGAGGAAATCAATAAGCAAGTCCAAAAACTGATAGATGACGACATAATAGAACCATCTATATCTGATTATAATAGCCCATTACTTTTGGTGCCTAAGAAAAGCCTACCAGGTAATAATCATAAAAGATGGAGATTAGTAGTTGACTATAGGGGAGTTAACAAAAAATTAATGGCCGATAAGTTCCCATTACCTCGCATAGATGACATATTAGATCAATTAGGTAGAGCAAAATATTTTTCATGCCTAGATCTTATCTCTGGGTTTCATCAAATAGAATTAGAAGACGAATCAAGAGATATCACGTCCTTTTCTACTGATAATGGTTCGTTCAGGTTTAAAAGATTGCCTTACGGACTAAAAGTGGCACCTAACTCATTTCAAAGGATGATGACACTAGCATTTGCTGGATTGTCACCCATCCAAGCTTTTGTGTACATGGATGACTTAATTGTCATCGGATGTTCTACTGCCCATATGATGCAAAATCTTAAAGATGTATTTAACTTGTGTAAAAAGTATAACCTAAAACTGCACCCTGACAAGTGTTTCTTCTTTCGTCAAGAGGTGACGTTTTTGGGTCACAAGTGTACAAACAAGGGTATTTTACCAGATGACGAAAAATTTTCAGTAATTAAAAACTATCCTACACCGAAAAATGCTGATGAAGCTAAACGCTTTATAGCATTCTGCAATTATTATAGGAGATTTATTCCCTGTTTCGCAGAATATTCTCGTCATATCACTAGACTATCTAGAAAAAACGTAAAATTTGAATGGACTCATGAATGTGAAAAAGCATTCAACTATTTCAAAACTCAACTTTTGAGCCCACATATTTTGCAATACCCAGATTTTTCAAAACAATTTTGCATAACAACCGATGCAAGTAAATTTGCATGCGGATCTGTTCTAAGCCAAGAAACCAATGGCATGCAAATGCCTATTGCCTTCGCCTCAAAAGCTTTTACAAAAGGCGAATCAAATAAATCAACTATAGAGCAAGAACTTACCGTCATACATTGGGCAATACAATATTTTCGACCATACATCTATGGGAAAAAGTTCTTGATCCGAAGTGAGCACAGGCCTCTATCCTATTTATTTTCTTTAAAAAATCCGTCATCTAAATTAATGAGGATGAGACTTGACCTTGAAGAATACGACTTTGTCGTAGAGTATCTTAGGGGAAGAGATAACCATGCGGCAGACGCACTATCCCGCATTGAATTTAATGATATAAAAAATATAGAAGTCAAAAACGTCTTGTCAGTGCCTGGTACGACGGTACATATGAGTGTACAGTATGCCACTCGGTGCCATCCATCCCCTTAATATAAGCACTAACACGACCCCAGACTACACAACTTATTAACCTTCACGTTACTATCTAGGAATTGTTACCTATCATTTTTAGAAAACTTTGTAAACATTAACGTGAAAAACGAACGCTGACATTTCTTGTATGAACTTATTTTTTTTTTTTTTTAAATCCTTTTTTTCTCATCGTGAAGAATCACAACATGGGTAATCACGATTCTAAAATCACAAACCCTAATGCTAATGTGATCAATGAGGTGAAAGTCTCAATAGAATACCCAATAGTATATCTGGGTATCATAATAGGTATCCTAGCGCTACAACTAGTAGTCACATTATACCAATTACATAAAAAATCTCTAAAAAAAAAGTTATTTAAGACGGTCTATGGGTGTAGATTTGGACAAAGTCTAAAAATCAAGCTCCAAAGCAATGAATTTTTACATAATTTTTATCTTATACCTCGTTCGCTTAATTCTATATTTGAGCCTTATTATATATCATAATTAGCCCATTAACATTTATTAATAATTATGCGTTCCTACCTAAGTCTGAAAATTTTTTTTTTTTTTTTTTGTTTGATTATAGAAATTTACTTACATAATTTCAATTAAAATCTGTCTCATGATAATTCCCAAAAGGCTAAATGGAATGGGAACAAATTATTTATAAAGCACGACTAATAAAAGAAAGATTCCAAAGGTCTTATAAGTGTATAAACACTGATAGAGACACAAAACAAGAAACTGTGAATAAACACTTTAACATTCTTGTGCAACAATTAGAACAACTAAGAGTCTTGTTTAATGTCAACTATTCACGACTGACACAGGCTCATAAAACTTTCGCCGACTCTTTTTATCTGGACATACGTGAAAAACTACTAAACGTTGCAACACGTAAAGGTCTAAAAATACAAGTACCCCAGAGTATACATGAACAAATAGAGTTTGTACCTCTACCCGAAATTATTGAAGTGAAACAAAATCAAACATCTTCAGTCAAAATGACACAGACAGTAGTTGAATTTCTAAACACAGCCTCTAAACTTATACCAGACTTTGATGGCTCGGCAGAGAACCTTCAAAGCTTTCTGGACGCGTTAAATCTAGTAGGAACTATTAGGGAAAACCATGAGGCCGTGGCAATTCAGCTAGTTAAAACTAAACTACGTGGTACAGCCCGTAACCTAATTTCTGACGAAACAACTCTATCGGAAATAATAGCTAAACTTTCGAATACAGTCAAAGGTGAATCCGTGGATGTGGTAACTGCAAAACTAATGAACGTAAGACAACTGGGCAAGACTGCCACAGCTTACGCCAAGGAGATCGAAGATCTCACTAGGAAATTAGAAACATCCTATATAAAAGACGGATTACCAACCAACGTTGCAACAAAGTACGCTACAAACACAGCAACAAAAGCTATAATAAAAAATGTCTCCAATGACAGAGTAAAACTCATTATGGAGTCAGGAACATTCCATGACCTTAATGAAGTAATGTCAAAATTTATAAGCAGCTGTACCGAAGCTTACGGTCAGCCTAACTCTATTTTAGCATACAGTAGAATTCAAAATAGACCTCCAAGACAAAGACAAAATAGTCAATTTCCCAAGGGATATAACAATAGGTTAAATAATACTAGAAATTCTAATCAAAATAATCCTGGGAATATAAGCCAAAACTATCGCCGAAACAATAACAATAATAATAACAGACGCCAATGGTATCAGAATAATACCAATAATACTGGCAATCATACGGGCAACCGCAACAATAATTATCGCGGTAGAAATCAAAATAATAGAATCAATACAATGGTCACTGAAAATGAATCTGAAAATGATTCGGAAAACGGGCAAGACCCCCAAAATACTCAATAAAGATTTATAATATAAATATCAACTCCTACAGCTATTTTAAACCACGTTCAACAATGAACAACTCTATGTCGACACTTTTAGTAGACACTGGCGCGGACATTTCGGTAATAAAACGCAGTCAAGTTCTTTATGATCCTATAACGGAAAATGAAAAAGTGAACATCAACGGAATAGGACAAGGTTTAATAACCACGATTGGAAAAGTTAAAACCGAACTCCTATTACGAAATATCTCAATTAAACATGAATTTCATGTAGTTGAAGACAACTTTCCGATACTCGGAGACGGAATTATAGGTATGGATTTCATCAGGAAGTATAAATGCATATTGGACTTTAGCGGTGAACAAGACCTATTAATCTTGACCGACGAAGTACCATGTGAATATAATATTACCCTGCATGATTGTCCTGAACATCTCACGATACCTCTCCCAGCGAGATCTGAGGTAATTAGACCAATCAGTTTTGATACTGAAGTAGAAGAAGTGTTTGTACCACAACAAATGCTCCAAAACGGTGTGTTTATAGCAAACACCATAACAACAAAGTCTAACCCTCTAGTGAAAATCATTAACGTAACTGACAGGGATATTATGATACAAAACTGCAAAATTAAAGTTCAAAAACTTAGTGACTATAGAATAGCCAACGTTAGTTCGGAAAATAAAAATAATAACAACAGTGAAAAACTGAAGAAATTATCAAAAAAATTTCCAGATTTCGTAAAAACGGAACTAACACAGTTATGTTCTGAGTTTATAGACATTTTTACGCTTGAGTCGGATAAAATAACGACCAACAACTTTTATAAACAAAAATTGCTCCTTAATGATAAACAACCAGTTTATATTAAAAATTACCGAACTCCTCACTCTCAAAAGGAGGAAATCAATAAGCAAGTCCAAAAA